AGAAGCACAGAAACGTTTTTGAAGAAAGATCAACCATGGGCCTATCGTGTGAATTTATCTTACAGCTGACAAACTTTTTGTTAACTCTTCAATAAATGTTCTTACGACAAGTTAATTGAATGGAATTTAATTATAGATAACGTTTGCGACAATGTTGCGAAGGCTTGACCTAAAATAATTTCAAGGATTTCCGCCGAGGCGATCAACGAAATCCTCACTCCCACGATGTTGTTTTCAACTACGGCATTAATAACGCTTACAATATTCATTCAGTGATCCAGCTGATAGCGACTCTTATCTCCAAGTCGCCTATCGATTTAACTCGCCGGAAGATACGATTTCTTGGATTCGTTTATCTAAACAGAGACTTTTGAAAAACGACCACTAGCGAAGAACAAAGGAAAGATTCAAGCCCCCCAAAAAACAAATTCAGCAAATTAATTATAAGCTTGCATACTGATAAAAAATACATACGTGTTCTCAGATAAATTGATATCAGAATAACCATCTACCATTATCGATTGGCCAACTTCAAATCACTTTATTGCGCGACAAGGAAAACCATATGTCGAAAGAGCAACTTTGACATTGATCAATGATCATCCTTCGGCTGAAGGGCTAAAGATTCTACCAGGATTTGCTGCAAAATATTCCAATGGAAATTTGCTTTGTTATATTGAGTGCAAATTATGTCTGGTTATCTCTCAATCTTTCAACGATAGATAAGACTCTGCTTGATGACTGATTACTATTAAGAATGAAAGAAAAAATAATTAAATACATTAGAATCAATGCAGGTTTTATTAAGAATTTAATTATGTGTTTTGCAATATATAAAGTTTGGTACGAAATATTATGCGTTATATGCTGAAATCAAACAATGGAATAATATAGAACTAAGAGCCCAAAACGTAGACTCCAAATACGTTACAGAATGTAATTACTGAAACATGTATACATTATATGTATACATTACATTACAGGTATACATTATACACATACGTGTTTCCTATATTTCATGGATATACCTGAAGATTATCAGTGGGACTCTGAAAGGGAACGCGATCGGTTTCCAGCTTTAAAGTGTTCAGCCGACTTCCGAGCAAACACAAGGATGCCGTTTCCACTCAGAAGCAGTTACCTGCATTTCCGAAGAATGAAAGTGAAAGAAAAGATCGTTCGATACAGACGGGTAAAGTCGTAGCGCTGTTGGTTTATTTTACTCCACGAATTCCTCATTCGCATACAGAGAGGCATTCGCCAATAGACACAGCTCTACCACACAATACCTATGTAATATAACATATCGAATTTTCTACCCACTAACTGGAACAAAGAAAAAACAATGAAGAAGGAATGCCTCACTCTAATGTTTCATGCACACACGTAACATCGAAGTTACTGAGTTAGAACTACCTCGAGAACTCTTGCATTTTCTTGACCGTGAAATGGAACCGAAGTAGGAGAGATAAGAGGGAAAGAAAACAAATGGCTACTTTTACTAATATATCTTTAAACATAGTTTCAGACACAGTTCTTCGTTTGAAAAGTTATTTGAGCTATTTATCATAGCTATTTATAACTTAATTAAAGTTTTACATAAGATTATAAGGGTTATATACCTTTATCTTAAATAAATTTATTATCCTTCCAAAAGAACTCCACGATTGAAAGATAATTTTATTATATCTTGTGATTATGCAATATTAACGATATCCTTGGAAATGGATGCCCATTTTTTTTTAAATTAGTTAACAATAATATAAGAATGTAATCAATACAATAAATTTGAACTCCAAATAAAGGGAAAATAATACTATTTTGAAAAACACTACAAAAAGTTGAACTATTTTCATAAAAAGAAATTTATGACTTGCTACCGTTTTGAGCGATAACAAAATGGCGGAAAGAACAAGTATGTATAAAATTCTTACGTCTGTTTCGTTTTTCTGAGACACCGTGTATAAACTGGATCGTCCTTCGAGAAGCTGGAGTGTCTATTGTTTCAACTCCGGCGAAAGAGCAATATAATATCTTTCGAGAAGCTGCCGCTGGGTTTCCAGATGCGGGCAGACGTTCCTCTAGGTTCTCCATGCACGAGATGCATGGACCCGTATGTAAGTTTCAGCACCCACGAAGGACCCATATGGGGAAAAATTTCATTACTCGCTTGACTTTCGAACTTATTAAAACCGACATGATATTTCTTTTCCATTCATAACTTTCGAATTCGTAACACCAACTCAACCCACGCCACGAACTACCGATGCACTACTGCCAGCTTAAAATTTGAACGTTAAGAAAAAAACGCTTCGTTCGAGAATCGAAGGCACGCTATTATCGAACGATCGTCACTCGAACTCGTATTGTTGCAAACGTCATACAATTGGCTATACTCTGTTGAACGAGTCAAGTCAGGAGTGGTAAATAACATCACGTGATCAAAATCTAGAGCAAAACAGGATCGATTGTCAATCTTGAATTTTAAGATATAAAATGGAAAGTTATTTTTTCCAAATAAGTGTATTTTTTAAAATCTATCGACTTAGATTCGTTGCCAATTAACCAAACAAATTTTACTAAGCAGCTAGATTAGAATTTTCTACAATCCCTGAAGAGTATAATTTACTAACAATTACCGAGCAATAGTTGACCGATTAATCAGTTGTGTATATGATAAATATACTGATCTGTTAAAAAAAGAAGCAACAATTTACCTCAAAGTGGAAGTTCTCTCTTTTTCTAGTTTTTCCAACAGAAAGCATATTTGGCAAAACAAGAATCGTCTTGTCTCTAAACCGATCAACGCGCAACGGTTTCTTTTTCTCTTTCTCTAGCATACATGCTCCCTCTCCCCTTTATATTCTTTCCTCACATCTTCTTCTTCCTCCCTTCTTCCTTTCTATCCCTCGTGCGATGTCAGAACGTTCGCGGAGCTTTGTCATCGTGGTGTCTTCTCTGGCCTTTGATATTTGTCGCGTCTTTGGTAGAAAGAAGAAACAGTCGAGAGACAAACGAGGGAAGAAGCATGGTAGGTCGCAGCGTTGCCATGCTGTACTCCCCGAGATCCGAGAAAGTGTACAAAAACCATTCGACCCACCAACACCGAGGGCATCGCGTTCCTTTTTTAAATTGCCAGGCTAGCCATCCCCTCGTATGCGTTTAACTTACACTGTCCAACACACTATTTCTCTCTCTCCCCCTTGCGTTTCCTATCTCTTTACCCCCTCCTCCCCCTCCTCCTCCCTTGCGCTCTTTTTCTCTCGTCTCTGTCTGTATGTATACCAAATACTGTTCGACGGAAATATTACCTACACGCGTTACCAGCGAAATATGTTACGCAGACACCGTAGAAAAAATGATCCAGATCTGGCATAAATTATTTGTCAGAGTCTAAAATATTGGGTTAAATATTCCACAAAAATACAGCCTAATATTATCACACTATCTAGATTAATGCTTTAGTAAAAATCGATGAATTTTTATGAGCTCGACTAGGTTGGCAATAATGATCTATTGGATATTTCTGTACGAAACTAGTCTCAGCATATAAAAACTAATGAGATTTTTTTACATATATATTTACATCATTATGCGTTATCTGTAATAAAAATCACAAATAATTGTAAAATGTCGTAATAGAATTTCATAATCGAAGTGTTATAAGATATGTTCATTCGTTAAACACAATATCGATTCTGTATCACTCGATATATTGTATCTTGTAGTGCGTTATCGATATATTTATTTTTTGATTTATAATTATGTATGCAAAAAAACAATTTCCGACACACCTTACTCAAAGATTATTATTAAAAGATTCCACAAACGAACAGTAAGTACGTTGGTCGAAATGATAAAAAAAGAAATAGCAAGTAACGTAAAATGTGATACGATTATCAGGTACGAGATATTTACGATCGATACGAAAGACTTAATCTTCGAAATGTTCTTGCAAACATCGAGAGTCGAATTTCACTTTGAAAGAACCTTATTTGAAACATGCCAATTACATACATATGTATATTCGAGTCACGACCGAGTACAATAGAATCGTTATCTCTATTGTGCAATCAATTTTTCTTCAAATAAATATATTTCAAGCGAGACAAAGATATGAATAATAAACGATATGACGTAAGTAAACGAATATCTCCTAAATCGTACGGTAGGCTTACACAAGATAATACGTTCGTGAATACAATACTACGAAAGCTATGATATAAAAGAATTCGTTTTGTTACACAGAGGTGACATCAAATACAAAAAATAAAATGTAACCGCATATTTAAGGAAAACAAAACTTCTATTTATTTACCTCCAATTCGGCTCCAGCCGATAGAAATAAACAAATAAAACCTGTGACATGCTTGTACATGTAACGTACTTAGATTATAATATACGTATCTTAATTTTCCGTGGGATGCAAAGTAACCAAGAGAACACTCGTCAAAACAAATATACGCCTGACCGAACGTAGGCGTATACTTTTCTGACGCTACGTTCTACCCTGTTGTAATATTTTAGAATTTCTTCGTCTCGTTTTGCTACATCGTTTTCATAGTAAAAAAACTCGAAACTCTGGCCTAACATAAGACCAATACAATTCAGAAGTTTCGAAGATTTGCGTTCGCGCGCTCGTATCACGCAGAAAGCGCGCAGGTGGACTGTCTTTTAACGTGTTCACTTACCTGTTCTCCAACGTAAAATCCAGTGAAGAGCGCAACCGTGTCAATTGTCCAGATAATGTCCACGAAAAACACCAAACAGGAATCGAACACAAAACAAGAATCACGTGTACGACTGTGAGGCGCACGCACATCGGCAGCACTAACGCGGTATACCCGTACACAATACAGATTACAAATATATTATGGCCACGGCTCAGGCGTTCATGAATGAAACTAAAAGCGGGTTCACCTCCCCACCCCGGGGCACAGTGCCTTTAGCCAATCACTGATGGGCGAACGTATTCTCCTCTGTGATTCGTTGTCGTATTCTGCGCATTCCGTTGGAACATTACTGCAGTCGGGGTATACAAATAATAGATGGTTCACACTAACTTCAATTTTTACCTACTATTTTGTTAATGTACATTATAAAAATTAAAAAGTAAACTTTTAAAAATATAAATCTGAAATACAAACATAAGCTCGATAGGGTGGACCAATTTATACTGATACTATTATTATAAATATATAAATATTAGCTAGAAATAGATAACTAAATAAATATTTTGATCTTTTTGATAGATTTATTTTTAAAATATTAATATCTTTACTTTATTATATTGTGCAATTTTAACCAATCACGTAGCCTGTTGGTGGAGTTTATTATACATAAGTAAGAGTGCATTCTATATATTGACATATATTCTAGGGTAACGAATAACGACAAGTACCTCGTAGGTTTTGTCCGAATAAAAAGGTAAAGGTGTAGTACTTTAAATTCATATTACGATTTTTAACAGTATTATTTATCTTTTTTGTATCTCGACAAGTTTTTATCATGTTTTATTCTGTTTATTACATCTTATGTAATAAACGTAACCTATATTACATAAGAGAAATCTTGTATAGCATTTCCTTTATTTAGAAATTTGAATCTATATGTTAAACAATTTTCGTTATTGACTTTGTTTCTTGTCATTTATCATTTTATCATTTTTCCATTTAAAGTTAAATATGCATTTTATATTCGATTTGTTAGGGAAAAATGCTTATCCAGAGAGTCATTACAAGTGTACCAAAAGTTATCAAACGTAACATTGGTATTCTTGCACCAGCACTTCAAAAAGCAACGGATCCTATACAACAACTTTTCTTAGACAAAATACGCGAATATTCTGCAAAAAGCGCGTAAGTAAAAATAAAATATCTCAACACAAGTGTCCTAATATCGATTTATGTCTTAATATCAATCCATAAATTTAGTGGTGGAAAGTTAGTTGATGCTACTCCTGAACTTGAAAAAGAGAGGAAATCTGAGCTTGATAGAATTCGGAAACAATATGACATAAAGGGTGATCCAAAAGACTTCCCAAAATTTAAATTTGAAGGTATGTTCATTACTTAAATTATTAATAGGAGTATATATAGTATTTTATATTATATTAAACGAGTTGAAAGTCTTGCAATTATAAAGTATTACAAAACATGAAAGATCTTTTCTTTCAGCTCCAGTAGTGGAAAAATGAATATATTACATAACTCTTTACAAGTATATATAAAACTAGAATATTAAAATTGTTATACTTGATAAATAGTTGTAGAAATATATGTATATGTAAAATTATAAATATAAGGTTAAACTTTATTTTCCTTAATATTGCTTAAATTAGATATAATCACAGTAAAAACATATAAATTACTTTGAATCTACAAGAACTTTTGTATTCTGGATAATTTCTAACAATGTTTTCATATTAGATTTTATGGCCACAGATTTACAGATCTTCATAAACTTCTCTATTTCACTTTTAGGAATCAAAGTTTTAAAGTTACCAGAACAAGAACAAAGTTCGTTCATATTTTCCCTCTTAATTTCGTTACATTTACAACATTGTAAATCTTGCAACATGTAAGCCATACTTTTATGATTTAACATGTCCATCAAAAGGAACTCTATTTCATCATTGTCATAGTCCATTTTACAAAGAGGACATTTCCATATGTACCTGTACAAACAGTAGTATTATGTACTAGAATACAAATAGCTTTTATAATATTGTGCATTACCTATCCCGATCCATGGTACAAAAGTTATCTTTGCAAAGATCGATGTCCCTTGTGTGGTTACATACTTTACAAATAATTTCAGGCACAATTAAAGAAATGCACGGATCTTTCCAATCAACTAGATCGCTGAAACTGCCAACTCTAATTAGCTTTAACATGTTTGTTCGCAAATAGTATACTTCGTTTTCAACTTCTGCATCCAGAGATAAAACCTGATATTAAAATTAATTTTTATTTACTTTCCTCGTAAAATAATCCTAACATATTCGTATTCGTGTTCAAATACCTTACAAACTGATTTTATTAACTCCAATGCTGGATTAATTTTCTTACTGTCTTTACCATCTAAATCTAAGTTTGGACATTCTTCAATTGTTAATGTTTTTTCTGGAAGATTTTTATGTATTTTCTGTACAATTCTATAACATAATTGAATAAAATATGTCAATCAAGTTCTTCATATAATGATAAAGTAAAACAATTATACTTACTGGAATAATTTTTGGGACATATCTCCCTTTATCAGTTTTTTAGCAAATTCTGCTGTATTCTCAAGTGATCCTAATCCAAGTTGTGCAGTTGTGCAGTTGTGTGATAATTGACTTAAATTATTTAAGTTCCTAGGCCTTACAGTAGTATTCAATTCATTTTCCAATATGAACTGATAAATTGCATGGAAGTATCCCGCTATTATAGCAGTAAAGCTAGATTGACATGCAGCTTCTTTGGGGAGACACTCCATTAAATTCCAATTCATTACTATTTCAGGCTTAATAACAGAGAAAATCCAATGAAAATATCACAAATAGAAAACAAAAAAAGAATTGTATGTCTTAGTAAACACTTACCTCGCCGTCATTCTCATCTTCAGCATTTTCACTATTTGTATCCGTAATATTCTCTATATCTTTTGGTAATTTTCCTTTTATACCTCCATAATTATGCTGTTAATTAATACAAATGTTTTTATATATTAAAGTATGCCATTTATTATTATATTGAAAGAATTGAAATTTTACTTACTACATCAAGCCATGTTAAATACTCCCAACACTGTTCAAAAGTTATTTCAATACTGTGGAATAGTTCTTTATCGCGTATTGTTTGAACAACGAATTCCATATAGTTTAATGCATCACTCATTGTCCTTTTCTTGGTACAAATGATGATTTTATTAAAATTGGCAAAAATAATTATGGATCCCAGATTTTTAAATTCTGCTAATAACTGCGCGAATAATTTTTTCATATAGGTATGCAAAGTTCTTTTCAAAGCAGGATCGTAAAGTAAAGAACTGGGTGAACGTAACCATCTAAGAAGTATAAATTTACGAATTAAAAAAAAAACAGGTGTAACATTGGTATAGAAATGTCCGTGCTTACCTGTAAAAATGAATAATTTGATAATCTGCAAATATATTTTTATGAACTGATACATCTAGCAGCCATGTGTTTACCATATTTCGCAATATTCTAAAAGCAGGACTGCAAAGAACAGTTTCGTCGTAATTAGGAATTATATTTGTCATGCCATCATGTGTTGCCATATCCTATGGAAAAATTTGAGTTACATATAAATATATTCTTATACGCTTTCTAACACGTTCTTTTTCTAAATTATATACTTGAACAGATGTCTGTTGTTGAGTGTGGAATGCGACAAAATTACTAGTTCCATCAATATCGTGAATATGGTGATGCTGTAATAATGTATTTACTGCTAAACTTTCTATCTCCAATTCAATACAAACACTAGAATAAGTTCCGGCATTATTTGCAGCAGAATGTAAACTTTCTTCATAATCTGTCAGTAATCTGTAATTGATTGCATATATTAAGATAATGGTAGTAATTCAAATTTCATGTTTAAGCGTAAATGCAACCTGTTATCATCATTTTCACTGCCACCCAAGTCTGGTTTCTCTGTTGGAGAACACCATAATACAAAGTTATTCTTTTGCAAATGTCTTGCAAAAAATAAGTCTGCACCAAAAACAATAGGATCCGCAGGAATATTTCCAATTGGCACATGAAGGAATCTACATTGTTCTGTCATTAATTCATAAATTTGCTGGCTCTTAAGGTAATGACGTAACATCGTTTTTGCACCAACTTTCTGCCACTCCAGTGTATTGTATAAAGTTTCAATATCTTGTACATAGGTGCTAATTAGAGGAAAGTCATTAAGTAATGGCATGTGAGTTACTAATGTCGTTTTATCTAAGGTAAAAACGTAAAATAGAAAAATAAAATAAATGGCAAAAATTTAATGAAAAATTTTTGCATATAAATCTAAATAAAATGTACCTAAAGCTGTCTGAATAATAAATATTGTTGCACCATGTCCCTCGTTTTTATATGTAGTTATAACTGCTTGTAAAATACGACAGACTTGTTGAAAGTTTGTTTCAAATTTTAATTCGAATCGCATCGACTCTGGTAAAAATGTTACTTTGTCTTCCCCATTTGTGGATATACTGCAAAAGAATTACTTTAGAATCATTTTCACAGACTAGTAAAAGCATAACTCAGATTTTGTAAATTATACACTGTATCCCGTTCTTGAATGTACAACGTGTTCATATTAGGCATCTGATTTGACGAAACAGAATCCAAAACAAATATATGAGCTCTTTTAGTTGCATTTAAAAACAGTCCCCATAAAGCTCTTTGATGGTTTGAACTCCAATGATGATATAAGAAAATATAATTAGTTTCATTAAGCTGAAATAAAACAGATATTCTTTTAGACCAAAGAAAAAATTACAAGTTAAAATACCATTACATTTTTAAGATATGATTGCACAGCAACACTCTTGTATTCTAACTGATCTAGGGCAAATGTATCTGCACCATCTGCCATGGTCCGTGCTGCCTTAGGATCAACTGTACAAACGCATCCTAATTGAAGAATAGCTCTAAACTCTAGTGACATTTGAGTTTCATAAATTCCTTCAATTTCTGGTCTACTCATATCTTCTAAAAGCTCCCTATGAGCAAATTAGGATAATTTAGATAATTAAATATAAAGTATCATCAAAAAATTTAAAGAATGAAACTCACTGACTGTATAATTGAAACTGTGTTTCCGGCACAGTATATTGATATAAATTATATATAGGTCGAGATCGTGGAAGAACTTTCTTGCTTTCTTTCCAAGATACTTTTTTACCTGGTTCTGGATTAGGTTTAGGTTTACGAGTATTTACATAAAATATACGAGGTATTATAAGACGCAATTGATGTAAATCTCTATCGACTAATACCCATAATCGATATAAACCAGGCTTGTTTGTTGGTGATATCTAAACCGATAAATTAATTATTTAAATCATTCCATACAATTATTTAATTTTGATTATTGTTGTTAAAAAAGAACATTTTTCTTACTTGAATAATTTGCCATGGATTCATAAGCAATTTTCTTTGAGTTCGCTTGAAAAAACCACCCAATGTAGATGTATTGGTATCTCTTGCAACACCCCAAGAAACTTCATCTCCATCATTATTAGAACGCTTACTCTTCTTGCTCTTCTGATATTCAGCCCTTTGCTTAGCTTGATGAGCCCATTTCTGTTTGTGGAATTCCAACCATTTTAATCTTTCTTCCTTTGTTGTTCCCATTGGTGGTGGTGAACCTAGAACTTCTTTCCAACTTTTATTTGCATTTTCTGCTTCGTTTCCTTCTAAAAATTGTCGTTTTCTTTTATTAACAATTGGCAATGACTGCTTAGAAGTTGAGGGTTTCCCGGCGATATCCTCTATATCGCATGTTTCAGATGATTCTATATCTTGGTTGCCAATATTTTTTTCTTTATCTTTAGGCATCATGGTAAACATATCAGTAATCTTTTTTTGTTTATGCGTTGCACTTTTTTCCATTACTCTTTTATGCAACCAGTCTGGGTGCTTCACTCTAGGAACCGGATTGGATAACTAAAAAAGAATTATTCTCCTATTATTATATTTAAATTAGGAAGTTTCAAATATCTAGATAAATAAAATAAATACTCCTTGCATTGCTGCTGGAATTGTAATAATTTTTTGAATAGCACTTCCGAGTCTTTCAATATAATAACTCCAATCTAAAATATCCCGTATGTCGTCGCTTTGTAAACTAGAATCTTTTAACCATTTTCGTAAATAGTATTTTCTTATTGCAGGTTCCGATTGAAATATTGCTAATGGTATTGCCCTAATTGTATAACGAAATATGTAATTTTATTGTCATACAATTTTCTTCATACAGAAGCAAAACTTCATCCCTACCGTTCTGTAACTGGTGCGCCTTGAGGTTTATTAGCAATAATGTATTTACATGCTAAGCCAGCATCTTTAATCATTTGATCACCTAAAAATTCTGCTAATCTTTTAGCAGTAGAAATAGACGTTGACTTTTGACTCCCATATTCTTCCAATTTTCGTGACATTGATTTGTTTTCGGATATAAGTTCAAATAAT